CAGCTCGAAGTGTAAGGTACGATCGTAAGCCTACTACTGCTACTTTTTTACAATTAATGCAGAGGTGTGTGATAGAAATGGTGATAGGTAGAAAGAACCACAGCAGATTTACACGCTATAAACTAAATTCTCACAACATATAGTCGGTGTGACTAAGCATCTCAATTTATGCACGACGGGGAAGGTCCTGTTAAAGATCGAAAAGTTCAAGCAACCCTCACTCTACATCGGGTACCTCCGCTAGTATTTATATATGTAAAACATCAAAAGTTTATATTTGAATTTTATTGAATTTTATGAATTTTGAATTATATTGACTTTCAATTGCTGTATAATAGTTTGAAAAGATATAATCTCACAATTGTTTATAATGTACAAAAAAAAACGTTTCAGCAGGAGTACTATTAACTAGCATTAGCTGCTCTCATTCAAAGTTGAATATTCTAGAACATGCACAATATTATTTGGACGAAAACGAAAGCCATGTTTTTGTATAATATCTGATGCTGAACGAAACATATAAATTTTTCATGCTTTACATATATAAATATTTGGAATCGATCTCATTTCATTATTGCACTTAAACTGGATAACTTTCGACATCAGGCTTTTATTATCTATTTCTATCAACTACTTAATAAAAATCATAATTCTGTTCGTCAATGTATTTTTGACTATTGCTCTAATAAAAGGTAACATTTTTTCATTGCCAAACGCACAAGTTACACAACGGTCGCCAAATTTTAACGACGTAACAGATACTAGCGTTCTTTACATTGAATGTATACAACTTCCATGGACAGGCACCGTTCGCCATGTTGATGATGGCTTGGCGAAAATATTGATGATAGGCGATTAGCTGTTGACCATAATATATTGTTGCCAAACGCACAAGGTACACAACAGTCGCCAAATTTTAACGATGTAACAGATACTAGCGTTCAACAATGCACATTCTTTATAATAATTTGATGATGGTAAGTTATATCTGCTGATAATCGTTTCTTAATCTCACAAAGACTTTCCCAGTATACTGGGCGAGTCTTTGTTATTCAAAATCATAGATTATAATCACATCATGAAAATTATTGCACGTTAAATTTGTATTCATTCTAATTTTCGTGATTAATGCTCGTATTGTTTACGAAGTTAATGATTTAGTTGAAAGGTGTTTGAACTTTTTTTCCTTCGTATTTATTAATAAATATATACGTAAGTAAACGTTTTGATATGATATATCGAAAGGTTTTAAACGTATGTGTATTAACTAATAGTAATAACATACATTTATTAATAAATACGAAAGAAGAAAAAGTTCAAAGACCCTTCAACTAAAGTCTAATTTTCAATTCTGCGTTTACTGCTTTTTCTTATTATATGTGAAATCTCATATAAGAAAAATTACTAAACGCTAGAGTTCTGTTAAACTGGAAGCGTAATACACAAGTGAAAAGTCCATGGTAGACGGTCAAAAGAAAATAAGAAAATATCCTTGAAAAGAAGGACAGATTTTCGCCGGGGACAAATCTTTAAATGTGGGATTGTCCCTCTTATGGGGGGGACATCTGGCAACCCTGTTCCTTCAGTACAGATGACCGGTTTCGTGCGAGATCTATCTTGTAACTTAGAAAAAATTGTTTGCTACTATCACTTTCTTTTGTTTGTTCAGAATTTTACTTTTGTTTTATTTTTCTTGGCATAGTGATTCTCTCTCTTGTGCATTAATAGCTGGCTCATGCGCTGATTGCTGTATAAACTGTTATTCCATATTTTCCATTTCCATGTTTTACGGATGCACAGAACGCAAAAGTATTTTTTAATAGCCCAGCAGACTATAAAGTCAAGGAAAAAATAAGTTGTAACCTCTTTAATGACGCATATAAAATAGACCTAATTTATTCTTTTATTTCTTTAATCAAGTTAAACGTTATACGATCGACTAGGCTGTTCTGTCACTAGCTCTCGCACAGAGGAGTAGGACCATCCAATAAACTTTAGGTAATTTTTTTTGTCTTTCAAGGCTAGTATTATTTCTATAAAGTGTCTTATCCAAGTTCATATCAGGATTCTCAAATCCCCCACCCGACCATTTGGCCCCCAATAAATAAATCTCCCATGGGGGATATATTTCATTTCCTACTGGCAATCTATTTGAAGTCCTACTACTTCAGCGTCATATTTGAGATGAAAACATTGGTGGGTTATTACATAATATGCAAAGATTTATGCCCTCTTTATCATATCTTGTCATAAAGACCATTATCATATAGGTATTTTAATTGTTTGTAGCAAATAGAGTTATTCTAAAATTCGTGAGCCGTCCCCAAAAACATCACTCTTCGTGTCGAGCGGGTTCCAGGGTTTATCAGACGTGTGATATGAATTTGTCCATAAAACGTAATTGAAAGGAAAAATCTATTGTTTGAAATTTGAAAGATTAGCTTTGAAAGAATGAAATTAGAGCTATAAGAAGAAACGACAGTGTAATTCTAATGATAAAGAAACGATAAATGGTTAAAAAATTCACAATATTGATTTTAATTTATTTGTAATATGTGACTTTAGTTAAGCTCATCGAATATTTTAGATTGACACGACGTTATTTCGTTAAAATAACCGTCCCCCATTCGGAACTTTCTGTCCTACATTCGAAAAAAATAATTTGAAACCCCTGGTTCATATGCTCAGAGACAGATGAGCAATTTCAATTCCGTAGTCGAGCTTGTTTTTAGTGGAGTTGAATTGAGTTTAGATTTTTTCAACTACCACTCCAGTGCAAAATTCTTACAACTTCTGCAGAATGTAAAAATGGTTCACTTATTTTTCAAAAGAAGACAGTATATCCGACTTTAAAAATTAGCTCAAAAATTATTATGCGTGCCTGTCACATCAGCGCCGGCAGAAAGAATGTTTTCACAGAGTGATTTTCTTTTCTGATCTCATAGATGTAGAATGACAAAAAGTACGCTTTCAAAATCAACATTGCTGAAATGCAATTTTTGAATTGTTAAAATGACTTTTTTTGACGCATTAAGACAAAATAAATTCTGATCAGAGCTGAAACAAAGTTCGAATTAAACTTAATCAGAGTTGCCCATCTCACCCCAGAGACCCCTCGTTTTGAAGAGAGTTATTTCTCTGTATTTCTAATATAGTCGCACAAGTTTTGCTGACGCATGGATAAACCAGATATTTTTTTGAAAAGATTAGATTTTCAACTTCAGTGACGAAAATAAGATTTATATAGGGATAGAGTTCTCGATTAATTTTGGGAGTGAACATTGTCTGGTAAAAATCGGCTTTTTTAACGCATAACAAATAAAAATATTAATTTGATCTGCTATTTTTAGAAAATATTAAAATGCGCTTCATAACCGAAAACATGTAAGGCGGCTATTGGAGTCAAATTTAGATAAGACTAAAGCCTATTAAATCTAGTCTCTTGGCACTCAATTTTCGCTTCCGGTATAATTTGTTTGTTCTTTTTATAACAATATAAATGTGACTACTGTATACACAGACAAATAAAAAAGACTTTTTATGACAGTGTAAATAAGGCGAACATAATTTAGAGGAAATATTAGGTACAGGATTTGTATCTACATGTATTGACTAGTTTGGTAACGCAAAAATGTCTTTGGACTCTACTTCAATAGAACAGAAAGAGAACAACATGCTATTCTGTAAATGGAAAAATTAAAAAAATAATGATGATTATGAAATAATAATATTTTATGCATATATTTATCAGCTAAGTCGTTCAAAAATCTAGTGTTTTCTAAACATAAACGCTGTTGAAAATTGTCTGCTTATTTTAGATTTTTGACTTAACGTGTGTTTTGTTTCTTATCCGATTGATCAATAAAAATGGGTCGGGGAGCTTTTGATGAAATTGGCTCTACGAGAGTTACTCTTCGATATTTTTCATTTATGGTATGTCTTTCGCAAGTGGTAGGAATCATCGCTGTGATTCTTATAACAACCCTTATGGGAAAGTATCGTGGGGGTTTTGCATGGCAAAGCGATCCAGATCATCAATTCAATTATCATCCCGTATTTAGTAAGTCCTTAGAATTTTATTAGAATGATTTTAAATGATTCTGATTAAAATAAGAGCTTTTTTTTGCTTTATTATCCTACCGGTTTAGAGAGAAAAGTATGTTTCTTTTAGGAATGAAAGTTCTTGTGCTTTTGAGTTTTTTTCGATTCTTTTCCCTCGATTCCCCCCTTGTTTGTTTTATGTTTTGTTTTTACGATAAGTGTTTTACTCAGTTTATTCATTGATCGGTATAATGGTCTTTCATATTCAGATTTTCTGTTGACGATTATAAAAGGATCCTTAGTAATGAGGTTAAAGTATTTGAGCATCTTCTTTACATAGAGAGAAAACAGCACTTAATACTATGTCAACTGTTGAAAAAGTGTTGACAGATGCTGTTCCTGCCTTTATGCTTTTTGTTATAATCTTTTTTTAAAATCTATAAGAATGTGTCATAGTAATCATTGTCTACTTGCATGAACAAGGTCGAAACGAGTATGTTTGTTTTCTTTTTTTAGTGACAGTCGGAATGATCTTTTTTTATGGTGATGGTAAGTGAAAAAAGTCTGACTTATTTATTCTTCAGTTCTTCATTCATTCATATTTTCATGTCGTTTTAGCTATTCTTGCCTATCGTGTATTTCGTGGTGTGAAAAAAATTCAAGTGAAACTTTTACATGCATCATTACTGGCATTATCTCTGATATTCGCTAGTATAGGCTTGAAAGCTGTTTTCGATTCACATAATTTAGGTAAGTGGAGTACAGAGATGCTTAAAACAGGAAGGGAACAGGCACTCCCTAGTGACTGAAAGAAACTTTTTTCACCGGTGATAGTCTTTAAAAATTCTGTTTTTTATCATTGCAATCTATTGAATTTAACGAAGAGAAAATCTTTTACGTACCCCGCTCTATGAAGCGCGCACCTTGGATATATTTCTGCTTCCATGAAAAATGGCTTTATTCTTTTTTCTTGTTCATAGCTAAACCGGTAAAAGCAAATTTATATAGGTGAGTTATTTATAATAAGTTCAGTTGAGAAAGGTGTTCATCTTATTTTATTTTCATATCATTTCAGTCTCCATTCATGGGTTGGTTTAGCAGCTGTTGTGTTATTCGGAATGCAAGTGAGTATTTCATAATTGTCTAGTTAATTCTTTTAGAAAAAGCAAAATTTTTCCAAAGATCTGTATTCTAATCAGATGAGTATTATTTGTTTTTTTATAGTGGGTGTGTGGTTTTGTATCATTTTTGTTTCCCAAGTTAAGTGAAGATTTACGAAAAGCATACATGCCGTCACACAAGTTCTACGGAAAGGCAATATTTATCTGCGGAATCTCAGCTGCTCTAATGGGAATAACTGAATTAGCTTGTTTGTAAGTTCACTTTTTGTATTGTTTACCTTATTCTACTAAAAAAAAATCTTCTTAGTGGCAAAATTTATCCTGCTGATAAAACGCAACGAACGATTATTAATTTGTTTGGTGTATTAATTATAATATTTGGAATTATAATTATTTATCTAGTCGCAAACCCAGGTTTGTATTGGATACAACATTTGATTAGAAACAGCAAAGACTCAGGATAGACGGTACCATATAAATCTGTCCTTTTTAGGTTATCAACGGCCACCTGACGATCAAAATGAACATGTGCAGTTGACCAATTAATTATTCACAAATCAATGAGGTATGCCTCTGCCGACTTTCTTCTCTTAAAAATATCTATCTAACCATGTATTATGAACTTCTCTCATCAAATATGGTTGTGGCTACGACTACTTTTGAAAACTTCTGACTATAACGTTGACTAATGTGGTTAGAGCAGCTCACATAATGAAGAAAATTTAGAAGATTATTGGTAACAAACACGACAAATACATTTATTGTACTCTTCTATTAACTATATAAGTTGTTAGTCCAAATTGGTCATCGGTTTTTATACGTTTTAGCTATGATTGAACACAAGATAAGAATAAGTCACTTGCAATTGTGTGATTGGTATCCGATAACAAGATTAGTGCTTATAATTTCTTTGGAAGCAGATGAGTCAAAGTTCCATTTTTCATACTAAAGTTTTTTCTTGTACAAAAGGGAAATGAAATACTTTTATGTTGTTGGTTTTATTTTTATTTGGTGTTTATTGTTGTATTTTAGCAGTCATATTCAGTCTTTTTCTTCATTGAAAGTAAAGATTGTAATCTGTTAGTAGTTTTAATACTCTCATTCTTTTTGTTCTTTGAAGGTTTTTTTTATGGTAGTGGAAGAGCTTAAAGTATATATGCCATCAGTTGGTTTTTGTAAGGCTTCGAATCAAACTGCTTAATTTTATTTTATGTTCAACTATATTTACCCATTTCATCATATTTTGACGTAGCTGTGTTTACTATACAGTGAATTAGGTGTTTTTTGTTGTTGATATTTATGAAAGAAACTATTATATTGAAAACATGTGAGTCTATATGACCATACACAGCTGCAATGAAGGATACATGCAACCTTCTATTTTAATCGATTTTCTTTTACATTTTAGTTGTTGTATTTTGACGATATATGAAACTTAGTCAGTATTATTCAAACGTTATCTATGTAAAAGTCATTGTGTTTTGTTTTAAGTTGAAACATTTTATGCGACGATATTTTATTTACTGTTGTTCGTATTTGTGTGTTGTGCCAAACAATAAAATGGATGTCTTGGTTTAAATAATGATATGTGCACAAGTCGAAAATTTTTTTCCTCTCCAGTAGATCATCCAGTCTGTAGGATTTTTTAATACTAAAATATTCTTGAGTATAATGTTCTTTTTCACAAAAGGAGATCAGCAACATTTGGAACTGAATCATAAAGCGATACAAACATTTTTCCTTATTCTTTCGCTGTATTCACAGCTTCCAAAACTTTTTGTTTGTGTCACATAACAGAAATGGTCGCATCATACCAGATCACATCTACACCCGAATGTGACTTCTTTATCTGATTACAGTGTATTCCTGTCAGAGGTTCAGAATCTATCCATGTGCGCGTACGGGCGTATGTGGAAAAGTTTTGGAAGTTTTGGAAATTTTTGAAAAATTTTCCAACAGCATTTATTAGACAATCATTGAATATTTATTTCAGCAAATTGACACATAAACAATGGTTGTTTTAAAAGAAAGGTGAACAGTATTAACTGTGGAAGTTGGTCTCTCCTGATTCTGTTGTGTTAAATCCTTTACGACAGGAGAAATTAACAAGAATACCTGAACAAAATCAGTTATGAGTCGGAGATGAATGATGAACGCAGTGCATTTATAGTTTTAAGTCTTTTTGACCGTATATTTTTTTCTGCTCAAAGAATTAGTAATAAGTAAAGAAACACTTGTGTTTAGAACAATAAACGTTTTAGAAAAAAGACGATTACCCGGAAAAAGATAAGAAATAAACCGATAAAAGCCTCTTCTAAATTTTAAATGTGAAAATTTTTCAACACTTTTACCGTTCGTGGAAAATTTTCAAACTCACGAATAGATTCTACACCTTATTCCTACAAGACAAACTTTTCTGTTGCCCTTAACCCATCTGTACTGTGGGAAAAAATTTACGGAGTTTCTGTGTGCCGCAAGTTTTTGAAAATGTTTTTCTATTGAGATAAGCCGTAATTGTTACAAGAGGCGTCTGTATGAAGTGAGAGCGAGAATGAAAATTACGTCATAAACAATATCGCTTCTTATAACACGTGTTGCAAGTGAAACTTCAGCTTCTATATTTCATCTTAAACTCTCAACTTAGTCTTTGAAAAATTTCCATGATAAAATTGAAGGCTAATTTATTTGATTCTAAATTTAAAAGTTCATTTTTAAAAATATGTTTTACATCCCTAAATTAGAATCAAAAAGCACAGAATTATATACTAAATTTTAGGTGTGAAACATCCTCTCAAGCTAGAATTTAAACTATTTCGTCTCTCCCGATTGCTTTTTATTAATTATGACAAAATTGCGGTTCTGATTTGATGAATTGCAGAAATCAAATATTTGAAGTTACAGCATAGTTACAGGCAAAAGGTAAAGCTTACGGAACAACCTTTTTCTGCGGCTTGTCTCGAACTCGTCAGCCTGATTCCATGTAATTTTTTCTTACCCCGAACGTTCCACGGGACGTGATAGATGGGACTTTATTCCGATGGCCTTCATTACTTTAAGGTAATATCGGTAGTGTTTGATAGTACCAGTCTATTTTTGCTTTTGAATTTGAAGTCGTTGAAAGAATTGAATTATACGTATATCGTCATCAGTTTTCTTTTTAGCTTTTATCAACCCGATATCTCAAATAACATAAAGATCTTTTCCAAAATTTCGATTTTTTTTTATGGAAAAAATATTTACTTCCTTTAACTGTATTATGCACATACCATTCTTCTGTCAAACTAATATTTTGAGTGGATGAAAAGTCTCTTTTCCTTTCATTGTTTTGAACCCTTAAGTAGTGTAAAGTTTCTTAAGCACGACGTCTTAACAACCAATTGTTGCTTCAGAGTCAATATGTTTAAGGGTACTTTTACTTTTTAATTTCCCTGAATAAAAAAATACTATCGAAGTAGTAGTTAAGTATATTTTACCTATATTCTTTAGAGTTATGTTTGAGAATGTACATAGTCCCATGTGATGCCAGATATAAAGTGTCGGTATTCTTTAAATATAGTCATGCATCTGATTACCGTTACTAATGAGATAGCTATTTAATTCGTAATATCAAACGTATATCAGTTCGTATATTCTCAATGAAAATTTAAAAAGAAAAGAACATGATATTATAAATGAATCTCTACAGCTTTAGTGCATGTTAAACGCTTGAACATCAACTGTTGATAGTTCTTTGATTAAAAAATAAAAAAACAACAGAAAAAAATAGTTGTGAAGTGATAATTGAGTGATTATGATGTATTCTTTTAACAATACTCAATAGAACGAAAGTTGTGAAATTCAGAATTATAAGAATTATAAAAATGTAATAGATGCGTTGGCTTGATTTAGCTAGACCTCTACGGGAAGAATCTTTGTATGGCAATAATAGGTGAGATGTCATGATTCTCTGATGGGAATTTATTCGTTAATTAGTGTAAAGGATGTAACTTTCATTTATTATTGATGCACAACAAAAGAAGAATTATTTATTTAACATTTTAATAAATAGTTCCAACTACTTTCATGCCCATTTCTCTTTATACCATCACCACTGAGCCAAATAACAAGCATATTAAACCTAATTTACGAACAACTTTATTTCTCTTATAACATACACTTAGAGATAGAGAATAAGATATACATGTACAAACTAATTTACTTTTGTATGGTCAAACAAAGATATTGATTTTTGATATTTTGTACGTAAAAAGCGGCGAATAATATATTTTGTATATTCATCTCTGTAGGGAATTCTATATTGATTACAATTTGTTGATAATGTTATATTCTCAAAACGATGGGATGTCTCTTGAGTTAACATAGATAAAAGTAAAGTAATTAGCTTTGTCATTTAAGGGATGATTGTACCAACACTTAAATAAACAAGGATTTTTAGAGAAAAAAAAATCTTGGTACAAATAATGTTTGTTGATTAGATAGCTACAAAGCTGACATGATTACGAGAAAACTTCAAATACTCTTTCTTGAACAACAAATTCTTTTGCCACTAGTACCTCAAGCACTAATCATTTGATGGTAGTATTTTCTTAAGAATTGAATTCTCGTATAATTAGTGCTTTATTTAGTTTAGAACAAGTACGTTCCTTCTTAATTTCTCGAGATCTCTAGGTTGTTAAAGGACGTTACACAATAGTTTAAATAACGTGTGAAAGAAATTTTAATGTTAAACGGGTAATGAGTAAAAGCTATCATCGAGTCATTGTTTTATTTCCACTAATATTATTTTATATAGAAAAACAAAGCAGTAGCTGATCTAATTATTCACGATATTTTGTCTGTATCATTGACATCTGTGAAAGAAATATCGTTTAATAAGTGAACTGTAAAAGCTGATAGAATCGCGTATGGTAGATGAATGAATGAATGACATGATTCTAATTACATTTTTAGTAGAAATAATTACAATTTATCTGTTTTAATTCTATGATGGCAAATAACGTTCTCCATTTTTTAAACATTTCTCCTTTTCTTTTCTCTTATTTCGTCACCATTGCGTTGCGACACACAACATATACTTTTTTTCAATTAGTTTCCTATTCACCATTTATTTTTTATATAGTATGAAGTTGTTGAAGTCCAGCAAAAAGTAGAAATTATCAAAACTCGATGAAGCTGCCGATCCTGAGACAAAGCATCAGGAAATTGCTCGTCGAGTAAGACATAGAGGAAAAACAGGCTTTGTACTGCTCAGAAGTCTCAGTACTCTGAACATCCAGAACATTAGAATCGACTTATTTAATTTTTTTTTATAAAAGACACAAAGTTGCAAAGGTATCAGCAGTGAAAAGTGAAGAAATTGTAAATCGATTTTAAATCGAGTTAGTTAGTACTAGGTCGAACGTGAAAATATAAAAACATTTATTATCGAAATTTATCCTAAAATGAACGGATTCAGTCCAATGAATGTTCTAAATATTCTTTAATGTCAATCTTACTTACTTGTACAAAAATTCTTCTATATCTAGTTGACTCAAGGTCGATACAACGTTTTCTCTGAGTGGCATTGTACAATTGGTTTTTCATGAAATTTTAACTTTTCTCAGATTCCCATTAACTATTTCTTAAAATTAACACCAAATTCGAAATCAGGTAGCAAAACTACATCGGAATATGTAGAAAACATCAGGTTTTGAAGAAGGATCTTTTTGAAATGAAAAAGAATCTTTTTGAAAATGTTTATTTTTCGTTTACGAGGTTTGACATGAAAACGACAATGATCAATCGAAAAAGGTTGATTTTCAATAAATTTCTGATGTTCACGGACTATATTGAAAATGTACACTGTATTCATTCTTCCTACGTGAATACAAGGAGTGAATCAACTGATAGGTTTTTCATTTCAAGTGAGACTTTTTCTATCGGTTAGAATGGTGAAAGCATTTTCTGAGAAATTATTCAAGGTCTTCTCGCATAAATTCTTTAGCTAAACATTCTCCGACATTGAACGAGTCTGCACAACTGCTAATATGGTCTGCCATAACTAGTTCAGATCTCGTTAATTGTTATCTTACTTCTTTCAATCGTTTTCAGACAAAAACTCTTGCTTCTTTCCAAGATGATATTAAAAGTGTAAAAGTTCTAATGAAAAAGATGGATGCCTCAGAACACATTTTCTTAGTATATTATATCTCGAACTAAACGAATTTCTCGTTTCTCGTATATTTTTTCGTCTTTTGACTATAGAAAATGGTGCATGGAAGGATACTAATCATGCATGAGAAAAAAAGAAATGGAGAGATGTTTAAAAGACGAAAAACGCTATTTGCCGCAGTTCTATCATCAATTTTGACAATTAATCTCTTTGCATGTATACTCAATAGATTCTGTAAAAAAAAGAAAATTATATATTGGTTACTCATACGCACTGTTATAGTTTTTCTAGTCAATAAAGAATATAATATGTTTGTACCAATCAACAAAATTTTATCGCACCTGTTTTATCTTGTTTTGAATAACAGAATCGTTCATGATTGATGATGAACATTAAAGTAGAAAAGAATTTTACTACATTGATATCAGTAAATTTGTCTACTAGAATAGTGTATCATATTTTTGAAGAATAGACAATAAGACAGATGTATTATTACCTTCTCTTCTGAATTGGATGGACCGGTCAGTTTATTCATGGAGTAGCTAATTTGTTATATAGAAATGACGAAATTCAGTATTACTCTATAACAATTTAGAAGTATAACCCATTTTATCTGGAGCTGCTAAAGTTTTTGTATGAGAAACTTCTTACAAAAATTAATTGAATTATTTAAAAAAAAAGAGAAGAAATCAAGAAGCACGTTTAATCTATATAAATTTTTTATGTCATTATTTCGTCAGCAGTAAATAGATCAAACTTACCGTGTTGGTAAGAATAAACAATGTAGAATTATAATCAAGTATTACTTCAAAAGTCTTTATCAATTATTTCGACTCAATAGTTGAGAAAAGAGACTCTTGACTTAAACTAACTAATAATGGAAGTACAGATTGACAACAATTGCAAAGTGGTAAATACTTGTGAGGGTATGGTAAAGCGAATAATTTTAGAAAAAATTTACTTGCTGTTAAATTTGTATAAAGGAGAACTCTTCGAATTTATAAATGTATTTTATCATTTATCTATTAATGATGACTTTTCCGTTTTTTCCTCTCTCTTTTTTTTTTATACCATAATTCTTACCATATCATCATCGATGTTCTTTTCGGTATATTCTCTGATTTTTACCAGTTAGATATACCTACCCCAAACATAACAGAAAAGAAAAGCACTCTGAATTAATATGGTTCGTCCTCCTTTCTTTCTTTTTTTTAATCATGTTCTTAATTGCTATTCGATCCTTCATCAAATGAATAGCTTATCTACCAATTGATTTGCAACAAACCGATGAAAAAAAAGAAGAAGAGAAACGGAGCGCATCTCTCTTGAAAAAAAATTGATGTTACGAAATATAGGATAAAATTGTTCGCGTTGTTGTTTAATATAATGATGTGTTATATTATTTGTTATTTTCTATAGTAGAAAAAGAAAAGAAGAGCTTATATACAAGTGATAATAAAAATAGAGAGATTTATCTATCTAAACATTTACAGAAATACACATTTTTTGACAAACACTTGACAATCATATATACGTTAATAGATGAATACAATACAAACATTTTTGACTTCGTTAATAGCATCATTCAACTAGAAAACAGAAGTTTCTCATCTTTCACCTGGATACAAGATGATGACTGACTATCGTAGTTGTCAATATGATCAAGGCAGTGGTAACTATGTTTATAATCCACATCAAAATTTGCTACAGCATCATTTACATCCCACTACGACTCACCATAATCAACAGCATCAAATATATGAGACGGCAGCGGCCGTATCTTATGCTGCTATGTTACCAACAGAATTTGCTTCAAATTATACACAATTATATCATGGTAATTTGCGTTATCCGCCTTATGATAACACAACATCACTGTATCCTACTAATACTTATAACACTGCTCAAACATCAAATGAACTTGAATCAATAAATGGTGGTTTGTTGCCTTATACATCATCACCAATCAATGGAAATTGTTCATCACATCAATCCTCTTATTCCAATCGACTATCTCCGTTACCGCCATTACTCTCAACTTCCAGTAACACACCACTAACAAGAAATAATACCAGTCAAAACTTCTATACCAATTCTTCGAATACTGCCAAATCAGTCTTATCACCGTTACAACCAACAATTTCACCGATTAAACCATCATTAACGCCAACAAATCAAAATTATGGTTCACCATCATCAACAATGTCTTCTTCGTTATCGCCTCATACAAGCGATGATGGAAAAGAGTTGTATAAAGATTTATTACCACCATCGAAAACTGAATGTTCTGACAATGATATTCACCACCACATTTTAGCACCATCGGATAGTTGTGATGGTACACGACGATGTCTGTTGTGGGCATGCAAAGCATGTAAACGAAAAACAGTGACCGTCGATAGACGAAAAGCTGCAACAATGCGTGAAAGACGTCGACTACGTAAAGTAAATGAAGCATTTGAAACGTTAAAACGTCGAACATGTCCAAATCCCAGTCAGCGTTTACCAAAAGTTGAAATATTACGAAATGCTATTGAATATATTGAAAATTTAGAAGATTTATTACGTTCGGCAGGTGTTTCAGCAAGACAACTAATTGAAAAACAAAATTCAAATAACAATACAGCGACAGTAACAAGAGAGGATTGTTCGGTAGGTTTTTACTTCGCTTTTGCATATATCTATTACGCAAAAGTAACTGAACATTTTCCATTAAGTCGAATCTAAAACTTAAACCGCATTTTTCGAGATCAATAGTTTTTCATCTATTACTTAAGACAACGTTCAGCTGAATATTTTATATGTGTTAAAATATCAGTGGCATTTTCTTTGAAAACTCAGGCTTTTCTAATAACGAAACTAAGATGCATCATGGTTTTTAAAAATGTAATAAAAAAGGACTTTGGTTCAACTGCACGACCCTACCACAAGGGCTATTTAGTGATTTAAACTTTTTTCGGACATGGAACAATGAAATTTTTATTTTCACAATAGACACTTCTAATATCTACTTGGACGAATATGACCGTTGTAAAAGCTGAAGGATTTGATTACTCTAGGATATAAAAACTTATTTTTGAGTCTTAATTTTTCCAGGTAGCTAGAGTTAACAGCGAGCAGTGAACACATCATGAGAAGAGTGTAGAGCAATTGCTTTAATATTATACCAGTAAACTGCGAAAAGAGAGATAATGATGCCTGTATAGATATAGTCTAAGTAGTATATCAAATATAAAGAAACATTTCATCGTCATTGTCTTTGAATTTTTTGATCTGTTAACATGTATACATAGTCGACATCCTTTTTAATCGCGATCTAATTGAATGTTTACATTCAAGATGTCACTCAGTAGTATTCTGCACAATGCATGTTCTATATCAGTAAAGAATAAATGAAACTATAAATGAAAACAGAACCAAATAAAAAAAAAGTAAACAATTTTTTTTGCTAAAATTGTATACATCTCTAATCATTTATTACAGAATCGTACACACACACACACACACGCAAAAATAAATGAAACAAGTTTTCAAAAAACTATGCATGAGTTTTAAACTTAAATAAAAATAAGAGTAGTTAACATAGTGCTTAGACTGTACAGGTTTTTAGAAACAAGCCAACGGTATATTTGATAGCATTTTTTTTCTTCTATTTTTTAGGTTAAAACCAGCCGATTAACAGCAAAAAATTACAGTGAAAAATATGCCGATTATAATTCGACATCAGCACAATATTCAACAATTGAAACAAATAGTAAGTGGAAATATAACTAAGAGTGATTCGACATGTTTTTGTTACTATTGTTTTCTTAAACATTAGCGAAAAAAAAAAGAGGAAAAATAAAGCAATTATCGAACGAATTCGTTCGTAGCGATCATCATCATTATCATCATCATGATTGAGTTAACATGAATAAATGTGCGATAATCTATTTTACATGTGAAATAAAAAGAAAATATATCGTATTGAACATTCCGTTTTCGTGTTCAATGAAAACGAAAAAAACATTAATAATCTTTTATTTCATTTGCACATTTCCTAAGACAAACTTTTGAAATAGAAAGGATTTTTTTCCGCAAATGACTTTTTATTTCTCTTGTTCATACAGAGGGAAAACTAAAAATTAAAAATTAAACTAATTTATTCAGAATATATTAACGAATAGCTATGTTTCGCATGGTTAATTTAGGCAATCAGTTTTTTTACAGTGAAGTCGAACAAAATTAATCAAAAAATTCAGTTTGAAACTATATAAGATTTTCTGGATATACTTTATGATTTAAAACTAATAAAAAATCTCGTCAGGGCAGCCTTTATGGTAGTGGTGGATGCTGGGGGTGCTGGCGGCCGTCCGCACCGAAATTCTTGATTTCATACTATTATACTCTCCTTCTTGTGCTACGTCCCGAGCGCATAGAACTTTTCATCGATTGTGTTGCTCTTTTGAGGAGTTTCGAAAAACTAATAGCATATCATAGTTTTAGTACACTACTTAGAGGAATGAGTGTCAAAACTGTGCAAGTCTTGTTTTATTTACTTCTACTTCTAATAACAGAGCGAAAACAAGAGTTTCTTGATGTAATGATGATCTATGCAAAGACTTTGGTTATTCGGATATTTTCTTTCTCTCTAACGATACAACTATCTCTTTTTGACATGTACTAGTACATATCATATCATATTCCTTTTGACAAGCAAGAGGATGATAAAGATAATTATCGACCGTATAATACAACACACTAATGATTTTATCTTAACTTTTCACTGTCATTGTGTGTGTCTGATTCTATCTCTCTTTTAACTTCATGCTAATCCTGTAAAAAAAGTCAATCAAATATGGTATTCTGTGTGCATAATCTGTTCATTGTTCTTGTCGTTTATTTTTCTTCTTCAGATTATGACGAACCGCAAACATCGTCTGTATCCAGTTTGGACTGTTTATCAATGATTGTTGAAAGTATTGATCCAAATAAATTATCAACAAGATAAATACTTCATATTGAAAGCCAATTTTCTACAATGAAATGTATATACAACATTAATACATTTTACATTTTTGATTTTTAGAAAATAAAAAATAATAATTTATTTCTTGTCATAAACTGTTGTAGCACTTTTAATTTTACAATTTCTGCGATTTTCTTTCTAAATTTTTTTTATATTAAATATACTGTACAGGAGGAATAACTACATATAATTTAACGACTGTTTCAGCTAACGAGGGAACCTCCCCAAATCTAACACTCCATTTCCAATGATTTATGTGCCAATCGATAGAGGATAGTGAGCTAATAAAGCTCTAAAAGGATCTGGGTTCATGGTACTTCTTTCAAAGTTATGAACAGTTTTTTGTTTGCCTGTGCAAGGGAACCTACTAATACTAAAAATTCCGTAACTTAGTCAAAACAGCGAATTAAGAGCTGACATTGTTTTCCATCACCGTGCTAAATATCTATTATGATCACAGAAAGTTTCAGCCTTCTAACTCTAGTATTTGCTAAGTTATTGAATTTTCCCTGCTTAAGGAAAACTCCAAAGAGACAAAAGTGGTAAGGAATAAAGGAATGTAATTTTTATGGAAACAAGACAAGTGGCATTAAATTTTGAAAGATGTTTTGCGGTCGTAGCCGTTGATTGCACAAGAGACTTTTAAATTTCCCGTTAGGACCGTCCGTCCTTGTGGTGGAGTGTTGATCGGTCATTCTGATGACTGTCTCCCTCCCGCCGCATAACACACCACATGTTCCGCTGCAGATAACAAGTGTTTTCTTTTCTAATACAGAACAGTTTCAATTAAGAAATAAATATAGAAATACACCTACGTGCCTATACTAAAAACAAGGAACGTGAGCTAATATAAACACAGAAAAAACATCGTAAAAACACATGGGTTTTCCTTAAGCAGGGAAAATTCAATAACTTACGAGGGAGCATTCTCAGCTATCCAACCCCGATTTCTTTCAAATATACATCAATCGATAGCCTATATCGAGATAGTAAAAAGCCTAAAAGGATTTATCCCCATGACTCTTGAAACCTGGTTTTCTGGAAAACCAGGTTTCCAGAAACTCTAAAAAAATAATCAAAACATTTCTTAATAGAACATGATTGTAACCCGGAAATTTCTGATTAAAATAAGACGTCTCCGAACTCTGCATGATCTTTCTTTGCAAAGTTATAGAATTTATAAGAAAAGCCCTAAATTGATTTCGTCTTATTTCTGTAGTTTTGACCTGACAATGAACATTTTAAGCTCTTAATTCACTGTTTTGACTAAGTTACGAAATTTTTAATATTAGTAGGTTCCCTTGCACAGGCAAACAAAAAACTGTTCATAACTTTGAAAGAAGTACCATGAACCCAGATCCTTTTAGAGCCTTATTAGCCCACTATCCTCTATCGATTGGTACATAAATCATTGGAAATGGAGTGTTAGGTTTGGGGAGGTTCCTTCGTAAGAAAAGAGTATTATGGCGCAAAAATCATATGATCTTTAACTGAGAGAGAGATCGTTATTTGTTAATCTATTGGAACTGATATTGTCTACGTTGAATTCTCAAACATAGTTCTTAAAAAATTATCATATGAATCTGACATTAAAAAGTTTTCAGATTACTTTTTAACAGTTTTCTATGTTCCTCTAAGTCAGTTTTTCAGAAAAACTGACCTTGAGAAAGCGATTTCGTCTAATAATTAAGTTTTTCGGCAAAGGAGTCAGTAGAATCAGGAAGCTATTTGGCAATAGATTACATTATTTTGCAGAAAATTGAATGGAGATTTATGGTTTAGTTCAAAAATTGGAAAAAATTATTACTTCTAGATCCAAAATTGATAATTGATGCTAGTCGATTGATTTTTTAATGGTGATTTTTGGCCGAAAGGTTGAATACTCTTTGCGTCATCCGTCATATTTATATTCAGAAACTCATATTAAACAGATCTGAGAGTTGCTTTTAGCATGTGATTTCAGTTGTTACTGATAACAGTAACACAAAATCCGTTACTATTGCTTAGTAATGAATGGTTCTGTGATGAATCGTGGATATGAAAATCGAACTATTGGTCAATCAAATAAATCACCTTCTATTTCTATCTTGAAAAGTCCTCTGCACACTAATTTCATTTATCGTTATACAATGTATTTTGATCTATTGATTCGAATCATGTTCATCATATTAGGCATAAGAACTTTATGTCCCATTGTTCGATTGTTTCGCTAACATATTATATGATAGATCACATATTTAGATATGTAAACATCGCTACTTTGCATAAATATTCAGTTTCGTATAGGAATATACTTTTTTTTATAAACTCATGCTAAAAATGAGCACACACCATAATTGCCATTTACATAGTAGATTTATTTATTATAGATGTTGTTACATTCATTCACTTATGTGCACTTACGTGCTTGCTCATTAGAGTTAACTAGATAAATGAATTAGAAGAGGCAGTTAAATAAGTCGTACAAACAGTTTAGAAAAAGAAGGAAGAAGTAGAAATATTGTTCAATGTCATTGAGTCACCTATATATATCAAATTAATTCAATAGACATTATAAACATATTGTATACACAAAAGTCTGACTGATGATGGTGATTGTGATTGTGATGTTTACCAACAAATCATTGCAACTATAGTTCAATTATTTGCTTAGACAAGTTAATAGGAATTGTTGTATCTTCGTCTTATCAAAATGAGAGACGATAAAAAAATTGTAAGAATGAATAACCTTATAGTTTGTTCAAAATAATAATCAATGTTTTCGAGCTTATTCTTGCGTCACATAATTGGGGATTGAATGAATGAATATAAGAAACATATAATATTATTATGTTAGTCTAAAACGAAAATTATACATATAATGTAAGTCTGAGTTTTATCAATTTTTAATATGTTAAACTAAACTGGAGAATACTGTTTTTCTCTTATTACGTTCATAAGCGCATAAAAATATTTTTAAATAATAAAATCATTCACTTTCTGCTATGTGTTAGAGAAACATTGGAAGTAAATTTCATGAATTTAGAGCGTAGTATAATGTTATTACCATCTATTTTATTGTACATAGGTTGTTTGAGCATATTCACTGAATTTGAGTGTATTCTCGATGGTTCGTTTATATACAAAGTTATCATCAACCATTTATAGTCAAAGTGATTATTATGTCGTAACAATTCAACGAGTGAACGATTATTTGATAGAATAAGTTTTATTTTTATACAACAATTGTTATTACATATATACATGAAAATTATAACAACGATTTTTCTCTTTTTTTTGTTGTTCAATCGAATCTATACAATGCATCATGTACGATTTGATTTCTTTAAATATAACCTTCTGGTGGTAACATAAGTGGTTAAGTGTGATATCAAAAGTGTATATACATTTTCTATATAAATTGATCCATACGAGTTTTTTTAGAAGAATTATCGTTATTTAAAATAATCATAACTAACCATTGAACAACGTATGTTTAGTACAAATGGGATTTGTCTCTACAATAGTTATTCTTATCATTGTTTTACCATTTTATACTATGCAACAATTAAATAAAAATCTCACATATATGTAAGTTATTTTTATAAAATTAGATTTTTTTGTATTTCATTAGATTTTCTTGTTATCAGGTTATTTATATCCGAAGATGTACCAATTAATTATAAACAATTGGTTGATACATTTGATGAATCAGTATGCAAAGATTATTCAATTATAATTCCAACATCAAATGATTATGAATCATCATTCGATATCTATTTGAGAACATCTGAAAACGATAAATTTAATGAAACAATTCGTCGTAAAAAATCCAATAATCGAAATCTTAATCAGAAACATTGTAATTTATATATAAAAGTCTTGACCGGTTTAGATCGTGAACAATATCCAACATATACAATTAGACGACATTTTTTACCCATGATTCATGATAATCATACTATAACATCAAAATCTAAACCGTTTACTGTACAATTTTCTGTTGTTATTCTAGATGGTAAATAATTAAAATATGACAAAAACTCTTGTTTGTTAATATTTTGATTTTAGTAAACGATCATTCACCTCAATTTGAAGTTGACCATTTTCGATTTAATGTTGCAGAAAATACAATTGTTGGTAAAAAGATTGGTCAAGTATTAGCACATGATCCTGATACATTTTTGAATGGAAAAATAACGTACACAATATTTGGTGATGATTTGTATGTAAATGGAAATAATAATTCTGATAGAAAAATGTTTCGAATTGAAGCGGATAGTGGAGAACTTTATCTATTAGAACCATTAGATTATGAGACAAAGCATGAATATCTTTTCCTAGTAGAAGCAAAAGATCATGGCAATGTAGATGCAACAAGTTGGCCATCAATACCATCGTACGCTGATATTTTAATACATGTCGATGATGTTAACGATTGTCATCCAGAAATCATTCTTACAATACCGGACAATGAATCAGTCTCACTATCATCGATCAACAAAGAAGATCGTTACATTATCAACGACATGTCTCCAAGAAAACATTCACGAATGAAAAATGACAGTACTTCATATACTGAAGGTAAATTATTCGATCATTTCTATAAATCATTAAGAACGCGGAAATATTCCCAGATGATAAATCAGTTTTCTCTTGAAGTCTCCTTGATGAATATAGATTAATTTCGATACTGATCTTGAATATGTTGTCCATTTGAAGTCAATTTGCTTGAATTAGACTTCAAGGAAAAACCGATTTATCATCTGGGAATGTTCCTTCACAGGTACAGTTTGATTCAGTTATATTTAGCCCATTTTGTCATGTCAAATTCTCTTTATAGAAAGATGATTAAAAATTGCAAATATATCAGATTTTAGCTCATCTTCAGAGCTTGGTCTGATATATGTAATTGTTTAAGATTCGTTCATACAATAATCTGTACAGGACGTTTAAAAGAAAAGCACTGAAAAAAATCTTCAAACTATTAAGTTTACAATATACATACAAATTTACGAGTCCGAATACTGGCTTTCAAACGGTGATAAAATTACACTGAGTATATCTCTCATTCAGCCATGAAGTTCAGATAACATTGGAGAACAAAATATCAGCGAAACGGGCTTTTCAAAAATCTTGTCTTTTCTCTGTGCTAAAACTAATTTATTCAAGCGAAAAGTGACGCATTCGACAGAGCCAGCCACCCTAATGAAACTTCCAACATCTTCGAAAAAAATTAACCAATTCCGAAATTAACCAATTAGAAAATTAACGTGCAGAGAAAGAATGGATAAAACCAAAGGTGTATAAACGTGTTTCTGTTCGCATCCACGAATTCTAAAGACTGCTAATTCTAAAGTGCGTTCGAATGTGTGCGAATAGTCGAACTCATTGGAACTGGTAATAAAATTGTACAAAAACACATTCTAACAGGTTGGAATGCCGTCAAATTAACCTGTGCCAAATCATCGGAGTTAAAGTTCTTTTGAACTCGTTTGATATTTTTAAGATGCGTCCGTTTTCAGACCAGTTGCAACATGTTAAGCTCATTGTATTGTAACGAATGTGTTTGAACCCGTCAGATATCTGTTCACTTAGTTTCTCAAATGTGTTTTATTTACCACTGGTTATCTTTGAATGAATCTCAGAATTCATCTAGCGAGATCTACTTAGTACTGTGCCTTAGTCAAGGGGGACAAAACTGATTTCAATCTCTAAAATCTCTCCAAATCTTTTAAAATCTTCGAATCAGTTTTGTCACCTTTGATCAAACTGTACTATTCTTCTATAAGAATTTGGTTATTTTTCCAAATGAAAAATGTTTAATTCCATCATATTTTATATATTCAGGAAACGACGATGATATTGAAGATGATTTTATTAACCATTTTCGTTTAAAATCCGAAAATGAATCTAAAGAGAAACAGTCATCCTTTCAAATATTGAAATTTGTTAAAGAAGAACCGATTTTAGCCGATAATTTACTGGCATTGGTATATATTCGTGATAATGACAATTTAGCGAACGGTGAACTGACATTAGAGCTACAAGTCTACGTTCAATGTACGAACAAGACGAAATTTGACGAAGGTAACATTTAATCAGTTTCAATGCCATGCAGTTCTCCGTCACGATGAAGAGGAACGCTAATCTAAAATACTTTCCTACTTATGTCTAAGTTCATTTGTTTTACGCACTCTTTATCGGAAATAATTCACTGGAATAAGTGCGATTCATCTGATTTTCAGTCAAAACTATCAGTTTCGATAAAAAACAAAGTTTATCGACTTTTCTGCAAAACTTTGGCCAAAAATACGATTTCAAGGTAAAATTAGTTAACCCCATTGCAGCATTTAAACTTGATTCACGTTGTATAAGTATACTCAATATGCAAGTTGTGTCCAACAGGTTCAAGAGAAAAACAAAAAAACATAGGTTAGTTTCGATGGATGACCGAGAGATGACAGGAGAGTGACAGGGAGATGCCGCGTGAATGTTTGTATCCTTCAATACCCTAGTTTATTAGGATTTGTCTCATATTATGAATAAACTATGCAAAGACAACCATAACACTTTCAAATTTATTTCAGATGATTTTTCAATTCATCATTTCACGGAAAATATATGTGCATACTTAATTGAAAATTATTTTCGTTTAACATTATTTCGTCCGAACGTTTATGGTTTGTTCAATAATCTAATATTAGATCGAGATGAACACGAAATGTTTATGTTCAAATTTACTGTTGATGATCATGGTAATATGCCAATACAAAATATAAATCATCTTCAATTCAATAATATTAGTCAACTTGATGAATCATCAAATACTAAAAATTTGACAAAGAAGTTAAAAAAACAAATACGTCATCGAAAACGTACTCGTTCATTAGATCAATATCACACGGAAAAATTATTTTCGCTAAAATCTGAAATCTATTTACATTTAAAATTATTGGACATTAATGATAATCATCCACAATTCATAAAACCTTATTATCAAGTTTCAGTTGATGAAAATCAACCACGTGATACATTTGTTGTACGAGTACATGCCGAGGATATTGACAAAGGAGAAAATGGAACTGTACGCTATGAATTGATTACACACGCTCATAAGAAAAAACAATCAAATAAAAAATTAGTTCAAAATCATGGTTCTTCATCATTATCAATTAACAATAATACAAAAAAGCGTTTATTAAATAAATTGTTTGCTATTGATTCTGTCAATGGTATAATAACAACAAATACACGACTTGACTATAAAAGATGTGCCTATTATCGATTTAGTATTCGAGCCTACGATTTAGGTTTTAATCGAAAATCATCAACAGCCATCGTTGATATTATTGTTAATAATCAGAATGATCATGTTTCATACTTTTTAAAAGATGAATACAAATTTTTTATAGAAGAAAATTTGCCGATAGGAACAATTGTTGGCGAGATAACAGTTGGTGACGAGGATAATGATTTACCTCAGGAATTATTCATTAATTTTTCTACAAATAATGAATTAAATGAATCCGATGTTCAACTGACACTCATGCAGATGAAATCAAGAGCAAAAAAGTAAGTTTAAAAAAGTATTTTAGCATCTATTGTTTTCTATTGATATCTTTAGAAATTTAATTCAATATGTATTTGTCGATACACAACGCAATGAATCTTCTGATTTTGTTATCGATTCTAATGGTATTATTCGTACTTTAGTCATTTTAGATCGAGAAACACATTCCGAATATAATATGTCTATTGTAATATACGATGACGAATTGCAAGCATCATCGCCACCAGCAATAATTCACATTAAAGTATTAGATATCAATGATAATGCTCCATCATTACGTAGCTCGGATCCATCTCATATTATCTCAATAAATCAGGTTGATTTGTACACATCGGATGATTCGGTTCTCTATACATTAGACATTGTTGATTTTGATGAAGGAATGAATGGTCTAGTTACAGTGAATTGTTTTAACTGTACACCTTACTTTAGTATTGATCAAGATGGAAAAGTTAAACGAGTATCGAACATGACTGTGCCAAATGGTTTTTATACACTTGGCATTCTACTACGTGATAATGGAACAAAGACGTCGCTAGAAACTCAACATTGGTTACGATTACATATTAATGGTCCGGAACATGAAACAAATAGTCCATTATCACTATCATCGCAATTCTATACAACAACGAACGTTATTCAATTGAAAAACGATAAAATTAAATGGCCATTGAATGTAATACAAATAAGACCACAAATATGGTTTATCATTCTCGTTTGTATCAGCTGGTTTTTGTTAGCAATCGCAGCCATGTGGACATGTTATCAATATGAAAAACAAAATAAAGAAAAAAAGAAACGTTTATTAATATCACAAGTGCGTGATCATAAAATAATTGTTCATCAACATCAACAACCACCATATGATACATTAGATTCGAAAACATCATGTATTTATACAAAATTAACCGGTGGAGATAAACATGATCAACAATTGACTATGATAAATCATAATAAAATCAATGATTCATTCCAAAATGAAGATGAAATTGAAGATACAAGTTATGATGCTGATGGAATTATCGGTGATACAAATTTTGTTTTAACTACGAGTAAAAACAATACTGACACACATGATACAAAAAGAAATGTAAGTATCTTATGTATTTTTATAGAATTTCTATCGTATGAATTATTTTCGTGAACTCTACCTAATCGATCTCTTATTCTTTTATAACATTTTTCAACGAATATTTTCAAGTGTTTTGTTTTTCTAAGAAAATATTTTCTTCCAAATGTTATACATTCAGATATTACTGTTTTATTCCAACAGAAAAAGAAAGAACAGAAAATATGTTTTCTAGAGGATGCATAAAACGGAAGTGGCTACAATAATTTTGTAAAGGACCCATTATTATTATATTGCTGAATGACAGTGATGATGTACAGTAATTAAATAGTTTTTTGTGTTTTTTGATACAAAAAAAATAGTTACTTTAGTAGTAGACAATATAATTGTGGACTAATATGTCTTTCAAATATTGAAAAAGAAAAAACAAAATTTGTTCTTTTACTGAGAAGAAAAGGCATAATCAATATGTAATCTATTACATTTATTATTTTTCTCTCTCTCTCGTTCTAAAACTACTTCGACTACGTACGTTGTTATCTTCACTTGACGAAGATCATGCAAGTTTATCGAGTTAAATAAACAAAGAATATGATGGAATTCTTTTCTATTTTTTTGTTACATACCATCACTGTACACATATATAGAAAAAGTAACTAACTTCTGATTTATTTTAATATTTCACTGATATCCGTGAGCTCGTTTAGCTAACAGATATCTTGTCACGTTTCCTTAAACTTTCACAATGATATTATTATTCAATATGAAATGTCCTATTCAAATGATTCTCAATATAAAATCTAGTAATGTTGTTGTTGTTTTTCTAGCTAAATGGTCAGTTTGGTTATTTATCGACTAAACAAGCAGCATTAATTTCAGCTGGTTTAAATTCAATTGGTCGTGGTTGTTCAAATGTTATTGTTTCATCATCAAATATTTCACGTTTAACGTGTTCCCGTTGTCAATTATCGTCAATGATGAATTCAAGAGAAACGATAATGACGGATGCAGGTAAAGAAACCACTTTTGGTTAATTCTTATTTCTTTTCTGTCTCTCTTTTCAAATAGTAATATAGTCTTTTGAAAGTAAAACAAACTATAGATGCCTCATTTGTAATAAATCTCTGATCAATATAGAAAAGAGACTCAGTCGTCATTTTCATTCTCATAAGAAAAAAGAAGAAATAATATGTGTGACGATGAAGATAGTTCATTTTATTATATGTTTCTCATGGGAAACAATTCTAAAACATGAAATCCAAGAAAGAGTTGTTTATTTTAAACGCTATACTTTACCCTTGACTTACAAGACTTTGAAATATTTTACGGTTTTCTATTTATTACTATTTAACAGATATTTCGAAATTTTGTTTTCATATTTTAGCTACCAATACGTCGAGTCACGAAGATGAACTAGATACTCCTGAACGTGGGACATTATTAAGAACATTTCCTTATCAATACAAAAGTGTTCGTCAAATGTCATCAAATAATAATTATCATTTTGAACCTATTGACAATGATATTTCTAATGCATTTAATACAGCTACAGCCACAGCCACAACGACAACAACATTAGCCAGTAGTAAAACACATCTCATAAAACCGGTACCGTATGTGCGTAAACCACCACATAATGCTAATTATAATGGAAGTAACCGGCAATTATTAACAAGCAACGCTATTACAACAACAAAGCGTCCATATTCCTATGCACATTTGGAAAATTTATCACGAAATTTATCATCTGAACAAGTTAATCATGGAACAGGACTATCATCATCAAATAATTTTGAAAATAATGATACCAATACTATGATAAATAATAATAATCATGTTTATTCAGACATGAAAAGATCAATAACGACAGATACATTACAACTGAAATATGGTGATACATATGGACGAAAATTATATTATTTTCCAAGTACACAAGATGTCTTAGACGCTCTAAAACGTTGTTCACATGATAAAGAATCATTTGTATAATGTATATAAAGAAAATTTGTGAATTTGAAAACAATTGCTTTTATTGTGTATGGAGTTGAAAATGTATAGCCTAAAAGAACGTCGGAAGCAAAAGTTGATGCCAAAAGCAAATCTAAGAGTATAGTAGCGTAGTAACTAGTTTTTTAAAAATTTTCACATTATAATTTCATTTCACCACCATTATTATCTAAATTATTTGTCATTCAAAACACCAGCTATTAGTTGTCATCTCAGCTACTGTCCATTTCAAAATAGAATGCACTCGGTTACTTGTTCAATAACTCTGAAGCGCTGATAGCTATCGAGTTCCGGTTTTTACCGTTAGAAAAAGGATGGTTGGGGGCATCTATCTATCTGAGAATTAAAATGCTTGAAAAGTTTTCTAGTGTTTACAAGAGGTTTCTGGAAAACCATTGAATGATTTCGTCGATCAGATGTATTCTCAATTTCAATTTAGCCATTTTTAAAGGCCAACGTCCACTCTATAAACTCTGAAATTTTCAGATTTTTCTGACCTTCCATGCAGGTGCTAGCTTTGACTTGCTAAGACCTAGGAAAGCCGGTTTTGGGCTCGGAATCGCGGTTTCCGGCACAACACATGGATTCAAATTTTCGACCACTCTGAATCACTTGACACAGCTTTTTCCCTTATTGGTGAGTTAAACCAAGGTCAATGAACGAAGATCAGCAAAACAGCCAGTTTTTAGATGCGAACTGGCGTCCAATGAGATGGCCCCAACTCAATCAGTTCTTATCCAATTGAACCGAAACTTTCGTCGGATGCTTGAAAGCCATCCTTCTACATAAAGCAAACGTGTAAAATCAAACCTGCTTCCTACAAACTTCAATAACTTTTAAAGGATCTCTAGAGCACCTGCCGATTTCAGAATATAAATTATCCTTTTTTGACACTGGGATTGAGCAGAAGGATCTCTCTTGACTCTTTTTTGAAAGTTTCCACTCAATTTGATAAGAACTGATCAAGCTGAGACCATCTTATTAGAAGCCAGTTCGCATCTAAAAACTGGCTGTTTTGCTGATCTTCGTTCATTGACCTTGGTTTAACTCTCTAACCAGAGAGAAAACTGTGCCAGGCAATTCAAATAGTTAAAGTTTGGGTACTTTAAATTTGTTTACAGGACATTGTTTGTTTGAGACTCAACAGCTTCAATAGTGATGAACTGTTTTAGTTTCTAAAACCGCAAAACATTCTTTCATTTTACAACGAGCTCAACTTAAACACAAATAACAACATTTTCAAAATATTAATATCAACTGAAGATCGAATTTTTTGTTTTTGTTTCATCGAGGGTGATAAAAGTACATTTTTTATTATTAAATCTAGATAAAAATACCAATCGAACGGTTGTTTTTTTAGAATAGGGATATATTCTTTTTTTTACCTTTGTGATTTACACACAGAAAAAAAAAAAAAAATTTTCCTTTCTCCTTCTTCCCATTTTCTTTTTCCTTATATTTCTCTGTACTATGACCCTATTTTTTATATTTATAGACATCCCATCCAGTAGCCATATGGATCAACATTCGTTTTCTTGTTCTTTCTCTGCAAATATAATAGAGCTGATCTAAAAGACAAAAAAAATATCAAAAGCATGATACTACGCGTGAAATAAATTATACAGAAGACATAAAAAGAAAGAAAATATGAGAAGAAGGAAGAACAGACATGTATCTGTGAGACTTGAAATAGAATATTAGGTAATCTTCGATTTAATTGTAAATAGAGAGTATTTGAAGGTCACAAAAGAGAAAAGAAAGAACAAGAGACCATTAAACAATCTATGATAAATGATTTCCATTTTTTTGTACATCGTACGTAGTATAAATCTCAATTCGTTTAACAATCTGAATAATATTCTGAGAATCACCTGAGTAAGATTTGTCTTTTCTTTTTATCACGATGAATACTTCAAATAAAAATGTGTTTTGAATGTTGCCCATTGTTCTTTCACGTATGATTAATTACACTCCTCTTGACACGTATGTTCTCTCACTCTCTTACATGTGACTTGTAGGAAAAAAACAAAATAACCTTTAGTGAATTTTTGATTATGTCATACAGATTTTGCTGATCATTTTGAATACTGTGTTATCTTTCTGTTGCTATTATTCATCAGATTCACATGTTCTGAATAACGATAATAGCCTTGTTTGTTGCACATATGGCCCTTGAGTTGTCAACAGCAAATGAAAGAAAAAAACAATGTTGTTTTCAATAAGATTTTAATTTTTTTCGATAGAAGATATTATAATGTCATCAGATCAAATTTTATTGAAGCATGTTATTCTACTTAGGTATTTTTAGATTAAAAAGTGGTCTTGTTTTGGCTCATACTATATCCATCATAGAATAAAAAAAATAGAATCCATCAACATTCAAAATGGCAGCAGCTGCTTTGGCTTACATCAGAACAGAAACAATCCCAGAAAACAATACGGGAAATGAGCCAGACGATGATGACGACTTTTTTGATACTGATGTTGATACCGACACATCAACTACATCATGCAGTTCTATATTCACCGAAACACTTGATTATTCTTATCGAAATTTATCGTCGATACCCGAAGAACTTTTAAATTCGGATGAAAAACGAGTAAAGATAAGAAGTTTACAATTAAACAGTAATTCATTATTAACATTACCAGCTGAAATGTTTGAACGTTTTCTATTATTAACAACATTAGAAATATCAAACAATCAAATTGTACAATTTCCAAGAGAAATATGTTTATTAAAAAATTTAAAAAATTTATTTGTCAAAAATAATTGTTTAGATGATTTATCTTTACCAAAAGAAATGGAACAATTACAACAATTGGAAATTGTTAATTTTGGTGGAAATCGATTAAAACAATATCCATATCAATTATTTCAATTGACTAATTTAAAAGAAGTTTATTTAGGATCAAATCAAATAGCATTTCTTCCAAATTTATTCGATTCATTAAGCAAGTAAATATAAACATATTAGTTTGTTTGTTTTCAAACTTATAGGGGTGAGTTATACTGAGTCGCGAAAAGGGGTCTCTAAGAGAGAAGATGCCATGGTTAAACTATCACTTTGTTTATTTAGAGTTGAAGTGCTTTATTTGGGTGGTAATCAAATACCATCCATACCCGACACGATTGGACTGATGAAAAATTTAATTGTCCTAAATTTAAGTGGAAATCGTCTAAAGACATTGCCATCGACAATATCACGTATGTTAACTGAAATGTCAATAGACTTAACAATATCCTACACTAATATACAAAATTTTAGATTTAACACGTTTGAAATCATTATCCTTACATAATAATCAGTTTTCAACCCTTCCACCAGATATCATTCGTCTCGATCTACAAGAACTTAGTTTGCGAAATAATCCGTTAATCGTAAGGTAATTATTAACATAACTTACAGTGTAAACAAGGTAAATTATAAAGGATTATATTTTCATTTAAAATTTTCAGATTTGTACGTGATTTAACTTATGAAGTGCCAACTCTCAAAGAATTAGCGGCACGTACTGTTAAAATACAAAAACTACAATGTGACAATGAAATCATACCTAAGAATTTGGTAGATTATTTAAGTTCAGCAAAATCATGTGTTAATCCAAAGTGTAAAGGTAATTTATTACTTAAATGTTTATTTTCCTTTCTACTATGAAATTTTTTACTTAAGGTGTCTATTTTGAAAATTGTCATAAGAACATCAAATTTGTGGATTTTTGCGGTAAATTTCAATTGCCTTTACTACAATTTTTGTGTTCTCCAACATGCACAACGTCTCCAACATTTTGTTGTACAAGTTCAGATTCAGATACACAAGATGATTATGGAGAAATACCGAAAGATATGAGTAACAAATTTAAAAAGATTTTACTTGGTTAGTTTTTGTGATCGATTTATGTGTGAAAGAATGATTGTTGTTTTTGATATATTTTTTGTGCTATTTTCTAGTTTAAGAATCTTTTTTTTTTTTAAGGCTAGACTATCTCTACATTACATTGTACTATGATAAACTGATTACTTTTTCTTATATATGAATATTTTTTATTATTCGAACAAACAATTTTTATTTTTTTGGAAATGTCGGGGAAAGAAAATAAACTTACGTTACATCATATAAAAATATCGTACCCACGAAATATTTGCCGATAACTAACATCTTACTGTCTGACGTCAGTTTACTGTTAAAATTTTAGGAAGTGTTAGAATATGATTCTTGTTTTAACAATGATTTATGATACAATTAAGGAGTATACTTATACATTTTTTTAAACCAATTTAGAATGTAAAACACGAAGTATATATTCTTAAAAAAGAGATAACAAAAATACATGAAAAAGATACTTTGTTCAATAGAAATTCATATAACAAAACGAACAGGTATATATAATTAATTTTAATTATGAATATCTATAAGCTTGAGCTTATATACACAAATAAAAAACAATTTATTGTTTATCATCGAAAAAACAGGCTAAAAAAAATTGAAAATGTACATTCAGACGAGAGAAAAAAAGAACAAATGAAAGTTACTTATTACCATAATTCAACAGAATAACAGAATCACCTTAATGTAGTTTCTGTACAATAGAAATGATAATGAATCTGACACAATCGAAAGTGTAAGAAAAGAAAATGGCTACTTTTATCCTTCAGATGTATAGTTTGCATTAGAATCATGTACAGTTTACTGTACACATATAAACAAACAAAGATACAAAAGCGCAAAGACTAGACTTTAAAATATGATAGATAAAGAAAAAAGCGAAAGAATGAGCAAACAGTTATATTTTATTTCTATAAAATAAGGTATATTTAACTTGTGTTTTAAAAAAAAATGGAATTAATCAAAACACTGGAAAAGAAATTTTAAGACTGATCAATGGGTTCTATTTTATCGTCACGAACAAAAACACCACGTTTTTCTGCACAACTAAAATAACGGATACCACCAACAGATCCATCATTTAAACCTAAACAAACAACATAGTTATTCAACTCTTATACTACAAAAATAAAAAATTGAATCGATTGAACGAAACATATCGTCTCTTACCCACAGGTTCTTCTAATTCGATACCGAACCATAAACCAGGTTTAAATTTTGTTGTACCAATAAATCTCACTATGCCTCGTTTTTTAAAGATATGTGTTGGAGTTGTTACAATAACTTTGAGACCAACAATAACTTTGAGTCCATTGGGTAATACAACAGCTGTTTCTCCAGGTGTGATTGTGATCGGCTGTGATAACTCATTAATATCTTTTTTTATGTTTAATTCGGGTATTGACTTTCCAGTTAAGGCTTGACGAGTGATTTCTTTTACAGGTAATGATGATACTACATGTTCTACAACATTTTCTTTTTGTTGTGCTAGTTGTTGTTCGTTAGATTCTTTTGAATCGTTTATATTATGATTGGAGTTTGAAGGATACAAATGTACGTTGGTTGGCGATAAAACAGATGGTGCTGATAGTTCTAAACAAAATAAAAGTCAACAATGTATCACGTTTTTGTTTATAAGCAGAGTTCAAATATCTAACTAAATTAACGTTCTGAATAAGCATCATCTTCAAATACTAGCCAAAACTCTTACTAGTTGACGGTAATGAATTTAAAGCCGTTGGTGTCTTTTCAATGATTTCAATTAAGTTTTTCTTGTTTAAATTGTTTGGTGTTTGATTATTTGTCACATTTAAAGATTCACTATTTTCATCTGAATTTGTCACTGGCAACGTCGGTGTCTGAGGTGGTGTCATCTGCACAGTGTTTTGTGATCTTGAGGGAAATGTATATTTTTCTTCTAATGCACTAGTTGACAATAATTCCTGTTCATTTTCTTCGTTTGGTATGGTAAATAGATCTCTCGGTTCTATACAAAGAGACGATCCTTGTACAGGTTGCGGACATTCTTTTTCAATATACGATGAACGTGTCAACATACTCGGTATAGATAGTTCGTAATAAAGATGTGAGAATTGTGGATCAAACTTATCATCGTACGTATTGTCTTTTAATTTTGTGTAAATTTTATCTACTCTATTTTTTTCTTCTTTCTCATTGTTATTTAGTCGATTTGGTGTACTAAATTGTGATACGTTTAGTGCTGAACGACTAAACGATGAAAACGGTGTAGGTAATGTTTCGACTGGATAATGTAGATTTGTGGGAGGTGATGATGGTGATGTACACAAGTCCGAATGAGGACATAAAAAGGAAGAATTACTTAGTTTTTCATTGTAAAACGGGTTTGTTCGATCATTATTGATGGAAGGTGATTTTTTTATTGTAGATTGATTATTGTCAATAACTTTCTTAAATGATCGTGAGGAATTTCTCGAAACACCGTGTTCATCATCAATATCCGAATTACTGTTGTGCAATCCTGACTGATATGTTGGGCTTGAAATAGTAAAGCGATTGTTCTAAGAAAAAATTTGAAATATGTTCAAGTCTGAACTAGAAATACTGTCATAAATGCCTGACTACAAACACTTTTCTCATGAGAATCGGTCAAATGTACATGTTAAATTATCTCTTCATAAGACGACCTTTCGAAATGTCTAAATATTATTTACCGTATTTTGTTGATTCATAATGTTTGGAACGCTTGTGGATTTTCGAATAGTTTGTTGTTGCTGTTGCTGTTTTGCCGAATAGTCCAAAAGTGAAACTTCCTGTAAGAAAAAGAATTGAAATATATTAAATATTGACAGAAGTTGTTTGTCTACATTTATTTTCATACTTGTCTTAATTTATCTAATAATAATAGATTATCAACTGCCGATGCATATTGAATATATTTTTCCACATATGTTCTAGAATAACATTCAGAACCAGCCACTAGTGCTAAACTTTTATGATCTTCTATATCATGAATGAATTTTGGTATATGTGAAACAATTTCACATACAACACTTGTTCGTTTGTAAGGTTTCTAAATATGCAGATTAGATAGCTCGAATAACCATAATAGATCTGAATATGAGCAAATCGTAACTTTTCTGTGCAATTACATTTTTTACACTCATTTTCGTTCCCACCCAGTCAATCATAGTCATTCCAGAAAAGCGCAGGAAACTCTGTTTACGAAAAATTTTACGCATATAGCGAGTTTCGAATAATAACGCGTAAGCTGCGAGTGTGTAGAAATAAACCGCAGGAAACGCACGTTGCCGTGGAAACAAAGGCTTTATATGCGTGTTCCTGAGGTTTATTTTTATACACTCGCAACTTCATGCGCACTTCTCGCAACTTCTAAATTTTTGGAGTAGTGCATACACAAACTATAAAAAAAATAAAAATAAAAATAAATATATATAATTCGAAATATAATTCTTCGCAGGGCAATAACTGCTTGCCCTTAATATTTTTTTCCAGGAGGGACAATTGCTCCCAAGTACTCTGCTGGCGGCATGCCAATGAGAGGTGTAGTTGCGCAAAATTCAAAAATTTCTCAGCATTTTTAGGCATATAACTAAAGTGAAAGTACCTCTTTATGAGATTCTTGGAAGAAAAACGCGTTTTTCGAGCTTTTTGCGATTTTTTTTCGCGCATTTCGATTGTTAATAGTCCAGTTGGATTCTCCGTGCTGAGATCTATCTATTGGTGTGTCATACATGTACTTGCACGCGCATTATAGCGGAAAGTCTGGTAAAAAGTTTCCTGCGTCAAAGAACGCAAGGTGTTTCTTGGATATCTCAGCCAAAATGAGTCCGGTAGTTGCGAACGTTTTACCACAGACTCAGTAAACGATGGGGAATAAGATGTACGTTTCAGATTTTTTGTAAAGGCACTTTCGTTTTTTTACCAATTGTACAAAAAAATTACGATTCGCTCATATATACAAATATAAACTCACATAACCGAGTAAATATTTCTTCACAGCCTTTCCGCTAGACCACCAACTATCGGTTTTCTGTATTGTCGTTGCGATCCCTTAAACAAAATATAATAATGTGCATAATGACCATAAGATTTATCTGAATATGTGAGTGTTACGTTTTCTCAATACTAATTCCATTCGAACCGGTTGTGAAATCAATACAGTAATTTTGACAATCATATAAACTAATGTGTTATTCGGCGTCACACGATTCAATTCAGATGCTTCATGAATAGATGGGTCCCACTGAGCAACTGCTCGAATCTAAAACAGAAAATGATTAATAAAAAATTCTAATTGTAAATAATTGAGCATGAATAGATCGGTAACATAAACATCGAAGAGCAAAAATTTTTTATGCAAAAATCCATGATTTTTCATTTATTAGAGCTAGCAAGAAAGCAGCCTATAAGGCAAAAGCTTTATCATACTCTAGACATTAAATCTGGTATGTTCTAAAAAAAGTATAAGTTCTTTTAGGCCGTTTTCTAGCGACATGTGAGATAAAATTAGTATATGGCTAATTGTATTTTTATGCAAAGATTAAACATAAAACGCAGTTAATTTTTGTCTTTTCGTTAGTCTACTTCAGTCCTGGTCGAGAGTTTTATCGCGGCTAAGAATGTAATGGCGTTGTTCAATGGGAAGACCTATTTGCTTTACATACATCCTCATCTCCCTCTAGTGAACGTTACTAAATCGTACCTCATCTGAATCGTGCTGTAATAAAGCAAGTCTGAACATATCATTTTTTTTCTCCTCGGTGAGTGTTGCTTTCAAACCAGCTGTATCATATTCTGCATTCATATTGTCTGGATCCAAATTAAGAAAGGTTAATGGACGATGTTCTTCAATTGTTGGTGGAGGAGACCATATAGGAGGACTCCCTTAACAGAAGATAAATATTCTTTACAATTAAGTTTGATTCTAGTATCAATGGATCTCTCCTACCCGGTATTCCGGACCCAGGTGGTGGTGATTCAGCAAAATCTTTTTCATCGGCTAAGCGTTTTAATAAAGCATTTTCACGCTCAATATCATTCGATGTTTTATCTTATATTAGAAAAAACAAAGATACAAATGCGATTGACAAAAGTATGATGAATTTACTTGTTTGGTGACTCAGTGATTCAATTTGTGATTCTAAATAAGATTTTCGTTTTTCAATTAGATCCAGCCATTCACGCTTCAAATATTGCAATTCTTCATCTTGATATGAATCTAATTGTCTTGGTGCATTCATTTGTCTTGTATTTATCGAACCAATTTCAACTGAACGAATAGCATGTAATACTAATGGCATTGTTCCCGACTGTGGTATAACGCGAAGACGAGCAACAAGTCTTTTCGATTGACCCTAGAAACATAAAACAACAACTGTAGCTTAAAAGAAACAAAACTGAATAAATTCTTACATGTCTTAATCTATATATACCGCCACTGATTATATTTGTATACGACGAATCGACTTCAACTGGTTCCCATCGTCCAGATGAATTTAATTCATGTATTTCAATTGCATATTGTATATGACGTTTAACTTCTTTCCAACGATTACTCAACGCCCGTATTTCAGCATCACGTCTATCTTGATCATTGTTTCCAACTGGTAATGGAACAGAATTGTATTGATACCAAACTTCAATTGATATAGCACTTTCTAGCCATGTAAAAATAAAGTCATCTGTCATTGTAAATGTATATTCCTAAAACAGAAACAGAAAATAAAGAATTGAACTTAAACATCTAAAAGACCTACTTTCTCATGATTGAAAGTAAATATTTGTGGCTTTTTAACAATGTCAGCATGTTCATCATTATGATCATCGTTATATTTATTGTTCTTTACTGATTCAATAATATGGTGTTGTTTTTCGTTCATGAATGAATAACAACAAATGACACCATCTGCTTCATTCGGTGGAAGATCACGAACTTCTTTTATTATCAACTAGATAAACATAAATTCATAGTTAGTTATATAACAACAAAATAAAAGAACCAATAACATACTTTAATCTTAATATGTTCAGTGGTTTCATATTGATCGTCTACATTCTCTTCCTCTTCGTTCGACTGCTCTGCGTCGCTATTTTCATTTGCACTATCATTACTTATTGATTCACTCAAATTCGAACGGATCCCATTTGATTTTACATCATTGAGCTTTTTTATCGCTGATGAACCAGTTTGTTGCAAGAAAACATGCAATGAACCAGATATCTACGCAATGAAAACGAGGCCATGCTAATCACCAAAGATGTTAATCATCTTTATTTTACCTGTCCTTGAGTGTTGATAATTGGTACAAGATAATCAAGTTTTGAGTCGTAGAATAATGCTTTCAAAAATATATTTGCAACACCAATGAGACTACGACAATCTTGTCCATCAAAAAATGGATCATCTGTCGTAGTTAACCTTGGAGATAGTAGCTGAAAATTATATAAATTCTCGAACTACTGTAAAAATGAACTCAGCAAAATACGTACTTTATTTTCAGATAAGGCACTTCTCCATTTGTAGTAGACTTCACGCATATCACTTAATTTACGTTCAAATTTTTCTACATCCCAAATTTGCGGTATAAATGTTGGCCGTTTGACCTCTATAGCAGGTTCACATATATTTGTTGCCGCCTAAATCAAACGAAAGAATTGTCAGATCAATTCTTTCATCTTTTTTTTTAAGAATAATTGATTTACGCGTTCACTTGGCTTCAAATAAGAGACTGGTATATGTAAGATTACAGAAAATGTTGTTTGTCGCTCCATTTCCATTGCTAGAAAAATGCGAATACGCTATTTATTTTTCGATGATAAAAAATGAAACACTTACATATTGTGTTTGCTTCGAATACAAGTGCATTAACACGTATAAGTTCTTGTTTCAGTTTAGAAAAAAATGTACGACTTTCTTCCGAACTATTGAATAATATAAAAGTGGTTCATGATAGTCACAAAATAGATTTTACTTACTCATTAGCAAGGATGTTTGAATATCTCCATTTTGAAAACGATTCTTCCATAGTATGATTTTTATGTGATAGTTTATGGTTTCGTGAATTAGTTGATGTCGAATGCGTTAATTGTTGCTTTAAATATTCTATTTCTCGCCCATAAGCATCCGAGGTCTTTTTTGATATGATTCCTTTAATAAAAACAATATTATCCTTCTCTTACTGATAAAAGAAAAAAGATTCTTGCCTTTCTTAATCTTTGATAAAAAATTTTAACCGATTAAACTTTTGACTTATTCTCTAAAACAGTTTTCCTGCGACTATTTAAATTTTCTTTTCCGCTAGAACCCATGAGATAATTTTGTATCGCTCATGCCATGTTTACGAATCGATTATCAAACGGATATTTTAGAACGTGAGCACAAATCAACAAGTGATACTACTAGCTTTCACAAGTGGATTTCAAAAACAAATTTTTTCAAAAGTGATTCACCACGTGGATAGTAACTCCTTCTTTATATGTACTTGATATTCATAGATCCAAAAATAAAACGGATATGAGTGAAAAACAAACAAAATATGTTTTGTTCTATGTAGTGCGTTATGTACTATAAAGTATTTTGTGATCAGTCTCAGTGATGAAATAATATATGGTACACATCTTCTTTAAGCAAATCAGGAAGAAAAGAAAAAAATGTTTACAATTCTTACTTTGTTCTACGTTACTATCTTTCAGAAATGATCGTAGTTCTTTTGTTAACGGATCAGCAGCTAATTGATTTAAAAGTACTTCTTGTCGAGCGTCAATGAACGAAGAATATGAATCATCAATTGTGCTCATCGTCGATGTTTTACTAGTCGTCAAAGCTAACAAATTCAGAATATAAATAAATTATTATACTCGATAATAAAATCAATGCGTACTTCGTTCACTAGATGAATTTAAACGAAAAAAATGCGAACAACCACAAAGAATTCGATCGCCATCATGTAAATGACTTTCATTATTAATGAGTTGACCGTTAACATAAGTTCTAAAAAGTATTTTGAAAACATGTTTGAATCATGAAAAAGATCAAATGACTAACTTGGATTTATTTAACGGAGTCAAATAAACTTGATTTTGATTTCGAATCTCAAATACACAGTGTTCGGACAAAATTCCAACGCCTACCAGTTCAATATCTTGTTTAACAGATGCATCCGGACGACCTACATTTGTTCTTGTCTAAAAAGCAATAGAAATCCATCAGGTTTTTAAATTATAGTCGAAACAAAATTGATTTTTTACTTTTAAATAATACACCAGAACTTCGTTGAATGAAGGATCCGGGTTTAGATTAACCAAATAGAGTTTATCTTTTTCTAAACCAATGCCCGAGCTACATACGGATATTCCAGCTTTTTCTAGTATTTCATGACGCTCCTGGAGACGAGGAACAAAATGAAGTTAATTAGACATACAAAAACTAGTTACAGACGCTACCGTACTTTACTAATTTTTTCTGTTTCAGCCACACATTCATCCCAATCTTTCGTGATTGTACGCATGAGTTTTTCATTTTCATTAATCTCTGAGCTCAATTTTTCAAAACATTCTTTTGTTTCCTAAATAAAGAATGCTACTTTAGTAGAACAAATCACAGTTAATATGAATATCATTATTGAACATTTGAAATTTGAAATAGACAGACATTTTTATAGAAGTGACATGGTGAAATCTATATAAATTCATTTAGTATCTGCTAATCTCATACTTTTGTGTCCGTCAATTCTTTTCTCAATTTATCTATTTCATTTTGTAATTCTCTAATTATAGTTTCAGGTCCATCTTCGTTAATCGAGGCATGATTAACAATTTTTTTTGCTTGTTCAGCATAACGCAATGTTGAAAGTGTTTCTTCATAATGATCATTGGCTGAAGAGATGGTGGCGATCATAATTGTACGACTATTACCTCCTAGACTATCCTAAAACAAGAAAATGTAGTTATTTATTCGCAGTTCTTTCATATTTAAGAATAATTTTACCTTTAGCAACCAAGTTAAAACAGAATCTCGATAGGGTACAAATGTTTTTTTTGATTTATCGGTTATTGTTTGTTGCTGTGCAAGAGTTGATATAACTAAATCAAGTGTGAATAATGATCTAGAGAGAAAGAGTAATAGTTTATAAGTAATTTTAAAAATGTGACTTTTTTCTTACTTATTAATATTACATCCTTCTTGAAATCGAATATATTCTGCTGGTTCGCCACTTTTGGGTGCTCTTTCACTACCTGCCAGATCTACCAAACTGATCCTACTAACTTTAACGCTCCTTGTCTAAAATAAGCAAGAAAAATAATATTACGTCGCGTAATAAAAAAAATAAATCAGCATACATCAGTAGACTCAGTAATTAAAGTCTGTGTTAATTTTAATGTAAATACGGCATGAGAACGACTACTTTCATTATTCATGTTCGTTGATGCAACAGTTCGATAACTGTTACCTTCAATTAGCAGTGTTTCAATTTCCTAAATAAAAATAGCAATTGAATTTATCAAATTGAAAACAACAAAAATAATTTTTACACTATATGAAGTCACAGCCAATTGTGATAGTCCGTCTACATAGGGTCCCAAAATTTTGTTCTCACGTACTTTCAATGCTTCATGATTGCTAAATATTAGAAAGATATAACTAATAGTAATTGAATTGGAGTAGAAACGTTAAGAACTCACTTATTTGGATTTAGTAAATCTCGTATTTTTTCATTGTAAATTTCAAAATAAGACACTTCTACATGAGTAGATGGTGAGAGTTTCGTGAGAAATGTAGTACTACTATCGTTATTATCTTCCATCGGATGAAATGTTTTACTATTATTCATATGATCATTATAATTCGTTGAGCTTTCTTTCTTTGATATACGCTCGAACATTGTTTGACAGAGACGTGGAATAATACCACGATCATTGTGAGTACCCATCATTGTAAAACTTTTTCCAGAACCTAAATAAAACAGTAGGAATAATATTTAAAATTACAGTATTCTTATGTCTCGATCATACCTGTTTGTCCATAAGCAAACACACAAGTATTATATCCTTCAAATGCATTTTGAACGATTTCCTCACCAAGTGTTTGAAATATATATTCTTGATCTAGACAGAAAACATTATTATCTATTCAAATTATCTTTCTATATCGCTTACTTGCGTAGTTTGTATTATTAAAATGCATTGAATCAAAACAAAAATCATAGGAAAATGTCTTTGACGTATCGAGTCTAAACAAAATAACAAAAACACGAGTTGATCCCTTCACGAAATTTTATTTATACATACTCGTTATTTGGTTTTCTCAAAAGAATTTGAGAATTATGAATTGAGACGATTACTGGAGATTTTAAATCAACCTTTAAATAAGTAGATAAATAAGTGTTGCATTTATTTAACAACTAAATTTATTTACTTCACGTTGATTGAGAGGACGAGCCCGAACAGCCACTTGCACCCGACTTTCAGTTGTGCTGAGCTTCACCATATTTTCTTATCTGTAAATAATAAAAAAAGAAAAAATCTAGCTTTTCCAGCAAGTAATACATGATAAACATTAGGTCATCATACTCGTTACTACTTTGACTCTGGACAAGAAATAAGGAGAGTGAGAAAAAGAGTAGCGCGTGAAACGTTTCACAGGTTTGACGAAAAGGTAACAGCAGAACACAGTTCTGTGAAAATGGTAGTAAAAAACCAGCAGATCTGTTTTCAGTTAGAACTAATCAATTCTATCGAATATTATTTATACCAGAAGTGCAGAATCTATCCGTGAGATTGGAAAATCTCCCCTTTCCGATTGGGAAAAAGTTTGTCAAGTCCTACATAATTCACGAACAGAATTTCTTTTTACAAAATATTTCCAAAAAATTCCAATTTTTCAAAAAATTTCTCCGAATCAATAAATTTTCCCCCGACGGCCGTCGGAGCAAACAGGCAGATTCTGTAGCTCTGATTAATACTCAGAATTGTAGACACGCTGAACGTACATATGTCATCTTATTCCAATTTGATATCTGGCAAGTCTACATCGTGTGTAAAAATGTTTTTAACCCTCATTTAACCACCTATCGACTACTAAACTTTTTCTCGACCCCAGCTCAATTTTCAAGTATAGAGAGGAAAATTTTCCATCAACCTGTGCAGTAAATGTGAGTAATATTTGCAGAAGAGTATTAGAAATAGAATCTAAAGAAGACCATCTTTTCGTACTATTATCTCGTGAGTTTTCTTTATTTCATCTTTTTCTTCTTATCTCCATCAAACGGTTCAAAACAAGAATTACAAATGATCTTGTAATGGTGTGGATAGCAAGGAAAATGACAGATAGAACATTGTGTAGCAACTTTTTTATCGCGGACTCTTGGACAGAGGTGACATCGTTGCTTTCCACTCATTCCAGGTGCAGTAGTGATTGGACTGACGATTGAAAGTCCGAGCTTTTGCGTAGCCAGTCGAACGTTTCGCTGAACTGCATACGGATTCTGAGAACGTTGATTCAAATGTGCATCAACCAGGCTGTGGTCAATCTGTTGAAGGAACAATCGTCGACGGTATGGCTTGGTGTCGTTCCATTGAGCATTTTTAGTCGTCCATAGCATATAAGCTGCAATACCAGCCACATCAATCATATTGAAAAAAAAAACGCATCGGTCACTGAAGCAAGAATAAGTTTGAACCATTTGATCCATACGATCAACACCACCTTTTGTCTCGTAATACAAAATTATTTCCGGCTTCTTATGTGTTTCTTCATTGACTGTTGTTTCGTGGTGCATTGATGAAAGAAGAATCACCGCTTTACTTTTCTTCAGCACATAGCTCACAAGTGTGAGCTGCTCATCAAAGCAGAATATCGATGAGTTTTCCGGACGTTGACGATTTGGTTACAGTTGTTGAGGAATTTCGGGTTTGTTTAACAAACCCGACAACAAAGGCCGATTTCAATTCACTTTTAGAAACTTATAACATAAGATAGAACCTTCTAAAATATTCTCTAGAGCTGGACGAGACATGAAATACTTAATTGAAACGATATCTCAACAATAATATATGTGTAATTAGTTACACATACTCTCCAAATGATGAAAACACGTTGATGTGTACTTCTAGCTCTTTTATCATATTGACGCTGTTAGAATCGAAGACACTGATATAATCGATATGCTCGTCTAACTTTCGTTAGTGCATATCTAGAAGATGCGAGAGTGATCTGTTACTGTTTGAGGAAAAAGAAGCATAATATTCGATCTGGGGTCCACTGGGATCCCAGATGGTGAAATGGGGGTTAAAATCGAACAGCAGTCAGATTACCAAGAAAGCAATTCGAAATGGCATGTGCATCTCACTTTCATAGTTAAATCATGCGTATGCGTATGCATATGCAGCGGTGTAACCAGGTTAGTCCAATGGGCAAACTTCTATTGTATCGGAAAAAAACAATGGGCAAAATGGGCAAGGTTTTTGTCGATGGGCCAAAAGATTTTTGGTCCAAAAAGAACACAAAAAAATGAAATGAGATCCTTTTAATTTTTGA